GAGATACAGAGAGTTGACAGTTGTAGATAACACACAGACTAATATCATCGACGAGAATGGAAGGAGAATACATAAAACCAAACTAAAACGAAAACGAAAAACTTGACTTCGTGTTAAACTAACATCAACTTTCTATTTTTCTTATATCATTTCAGAAAAAAAAACATATAAAAAAATTAATTTATTCCATAAATTCCTAATACCTTATTCCATCATCCTCATCCAACCATATCCTATTCATTCCTCCCATATGGAGATACTTGAACTAAATAAAAACCCAGGCATCGTTGTATTCAAAACAAATTCAGTTTTTATAAAAGAAGGTTTCCACATTTTGATCCATGAATTCAACTTAGATTCATTCAAAATTATATTAAAACAATACGAATCAATTATTGCACAATTAGAAGAGAACCTCAATATTATAGAATTAGTTACCATTCTTAAGCAAAAACAGATTCAAACTCATTCCATTCTTGAAAACTTGACAACAAAATCAAAAAGAACAAAAAGATCGCTTAACTTTTTAGGATCTACCATAAAAATGATTACTGGAAACTTAGACAACGAAGATTTGTTGCAAATTGAAAATCAATTGGAAACATTGAAAAATTCTAATAATGTACTTATTACTGAAAACAATGAACAGGTTAAGATAAATGAACTATTTGAGAGTAGAATGAATAATCTAACTAAAATGGCTTATAGACAGACTAGGGAAATAGAGAGTATCATAAAACAAAATATTTTAGGCTTAGATAGGGCAGTAGATTGGAAACACGTACTGCATGTACACAACATCATATTCAACATCGACATGGTTCAACATCAGCTGACAACAATTTTCGAATCCATACAATTGTCGAGACTGGGTGTCATATCGAAAGCCTTATTACAACCTTCCGAATTGGATTTTGCTACACAACTTTTGGAATCACAAGGCATAACGATTGAAAGCTACGATCAAACTTACGAATTCTTGGAACCCGTAGCTTTCCACAATGGCTCCAAAATAATATTCCTCATAAAAATTCCAAAACTTAGACAAGGTGAATATGTGCAACTCCATATAGAAACCATCCCCATTCGAGGAAAAATAATCCCGATAAATGCAACAAAAGCCATTATCGGCAATGATGAAACATTTTTAATCATTCATCCATGCATAAACGTCGAGAAAAGCAACATTTGCGATATCGAAAATCTTTTCAACGTTTCCAACGACAATTGCCTACATCAGATATTACGTGGAAACATTGGCAACTGCACCTTTACGAAGTCTTCAAATAAAACGGAGGTAAAGTCAATCAAGGACCTCGGAGTGTTAGTCAAAAACTCCATCGAACCCAGTCTACTACAAAACAACTGCGGGTATGGTCCAAGAAACTTGACAGGAACATTCCTCGTTTCATTCAAAGACTGTTCAATTACCTTGAATGGAAACAAATTCAAAAGCAGAACATTTAAAGGAGACATCAAACTAACTATCCTCCCACTCCATTCAGTAAAGGTAGAAGAAATAGAAGAAGACACAAACTCCATCAGTAATCTGGAACAGCTGCACATTCACAACCGGCATAAGTTGGAATACCTATTACACTCAAACCAAAGGAATAAATCTTTAAGCTTTGGAGTCATAATTATGGTAGCATGTATCGTTGCAGTTTTCTCCGCTTTCATTTTGAAGGAAGTTCGCCGACTTAAGCTGAAATTGACGATACAGGCCCCGATAGTGAACATGGCAGAAACTTCGCAAGCAGAATTGAACCGAGACGGTTCAAACTAAGGCGGGGGAAGTTATGGACATACCGATGCTCTACCCACGTCCACCAACCAACCGAACGTGGCTTAGACGCTGACTCAACAACATCCCCGTATTCGACTCCATGCACGAGGCACCTGGCGACAAGAATCAGCATATCACACCACATGGATGGAAACAGGCCAACGCTTACTCGACAATGCACTTTGGACACCGAAGAATTCGATGACCAGCAATTGTCAACATAGCAGTTGACGATCGGTTACCACCCAGAGGAGTTTTGCTGAGACAGTAGGAACAACAAACAAAACCAGTTGCAGAGGCAGGAGCGAGCGTAGTTTTTGTTAGGTTCTAGTTGAGAAGAGTTGTTGTTCAGACTTAGTGTTAAAAGTTAAATGTAATTACCTGTAAGAAGATAAAAAATAAATTTTTTTTTATCATGCCAAGAATCATCCTGGCATAAGTACATATCATTCTCATTAGAAGTGATCATCCCTACTTTCAGAAGAAAGAAATACTTATTTGCTTCGCGAAGAACGTCGTCAGCTTAGCGTACACTACTGTTCATAAACGTGGGGCTCCCTAGATGTTTCACTTTCATGTATCTCTCATATCTAACATCAGCGAAAAGGTACTTTACAACATTAGTCTAGAAAGTTGCATTTATCAACATTTATTCATCATATCATTTTATTCATCATTTCCACATCAAGGTCAGATAGGCTAGGTGATGCAGAGCTTTATTTTTTATTTAAATGTTCCCGAACTTATCCTTGGTCGAGATCGGAAATGACAAGTGGGCAGGAACTCACGGTCTCCCAGTGTTGGTGAGTTCTTTGCCGTTAATGTTGACGAAAAGTTCACTATTTTGCCATACCGAAATTCAAAACAATTTTTTTTTTGGCGGATTTAGACGGTTTTTGACCTGCTTCATATGACTGGAAGGTGTATGCTGGTCGCAAATGCCGTGCCAAACTGATTTCCTACGCAATTAATCAATCTTTGATGTGAATTTCGCTAATAAACACGAGGAGCATTTCTTATAGCAAACTTGCCATAACAAAATGGACATGGTTCATTTTAGTAAACAAACCAGCACTTCTTCCGAATGTGTCACCTCTCTTACTCGCCTAGATTCTTGGTAGTGTACGAACAGAAACAGTGCAATGACGTGTACTAAAACCGAATATGAGCAACAGTTGTTCGTATTTTCAATTTTCATAAACCGGACCGACCATCGATCAGTTCTTGTCTACAGCATGATGTGCTCCTTTCTACACATGTCAGTCGGGAGTACGTAGACTTGGAAATATGATGGTCAACATTCTTATGTTGAACCGGCCTTCCCCGATACTGCGCCTTGAAGGATGTTTCTTATGGCCATTTTTGAGATCCGAAATTATTTTTCCGGGTTTCCGAGAGCCCCAAGTAAACAACTCCAGTGATATGTAAGGTAAATTACCCGTGACACAGACAAACAGACATAAATCATTGAATATTTATCACTGTAAAACATTGTCGCTAAAACATTACCACCATCTGTTGAAAACACTGTGGTGCGTAGTACGCTGAACAGATGGCGGTAGTGTGTAAACGTCAAACGCAAGGCAATTGACTATGCGCGTCACAGGGGGCGGTACTACCAACTACGATACTTTTAAATTGACCGTTAAATGATTGTTCGAGTGTTATGTCTGTTTGTCTGTGCCCGTGATTTCAGTATCTACATTTAGCGTTCAACATTTTCGCGGAGAAGCTACCTCCCTGACGCTTTGTTTTTCCTTGATTCGTTTTCCGTCGATCTTGTTTTCCGTGCTGAGCACCAATGCTACCGACGCCAGGGAGGCCAGGGAGTACTCAACTCATGATCCGAGGACCAACGGCTTTACTTCCCTTCAAAAAATCCCGGCGACGTCAACTGGGATTGAACCCAAGCCCTTTGGTGTGAGAGGCAATCACGCTTATCACTACACCACCGCGGTGCACCGGCGCCGCTTCCGTCAAGAACTTTTGTAAAGATAAGTGAGAACATCGCTATTACGCGGCGCTTAGGCTGTGTTACATGATTGCCTCTCACCTCAAAGGGCCTGGGTTTAATTCCAGTCGGCACCGTCGGGATTTTCTGGGGCATAAAAACTCTGATCACGGCTTCCTTCGGAAGGGAAGTAAAGCCGTTAATATCTTGGCTGCATTCATATTTAGGGCTTATTTTTCGACATAGTCTGTTAAAAGCGTATTGGATGATAAGAATAGCTGAACATGTTTTTGGAGCCGAGTTATTAACGAAACGGAGAGTCGATGAAGAGAATCGATCAATGGAGATTGGAGGTGACACGAGAATTTCCCACACTGCACTCCGCGACGGACGACAATGATTCACTGATTCAAGAGGCGTTGACATGCGGCAGACAACTGCTCGAGAGAGACATCCTTCTTCTCCTGAACGAGCGCCAACTGTCGGGTTCGGTTCTCTGCATCCACCTGGAACATTTAATTGCTCCTCCGAGAGATTGACCAGCTCAAGTTCGACACATTATTTACTCATTCAGCAGAAAATCCTCGGTCGGTCGGTCCTTTGACAAATTGGAAACTTCAGTGATTGTGGACAGAGTGACGAATAGTGCACGTGCACCACGACACCGTGTTTTTTGGTATCGACAACATCACCTTTGCTTGGTCATCCTCATAACGCGAAAACTACGAAGAAAAACCACTTCGGCTGGAGAAGCTGGTTTGCCACGAGCTTCTCCCTCTGAAGCTACTGAAGGATCTCGAGTAGGAGCACATTGGTCGGGGTTACTCCTGCTTTCACTTCTCTAAACAAACACCGGTACCGGCGTCCGGTTGGTTATGCTGGTGATGTCGTTGAGCACAGCAGAAATGCAATGGAGCGTTTCCAAAGCTTCTGTTCCACTTGTCGCAACACTAATGTACTAAATATTGAATTTGTAGCAAACTTGACAAAAACCAAATTTTCTCTGCACCGATTGGTCTGAAACCTTATCACGTGTGTAAAAACCCCACCCTTAGAATAAGATCTCTCTGCGGAAGTAGTTACGAATTCGTGATAAACCGGCTAGATGTTTTTTTTGTTAAACCTACACTTTTTCACTAGATTTTCAAAGCAATATTTGCCCACTTGCTGTAACAAATACGTAGTCGTGATTTATGAAACGATCATCTAATCAGCGTGCACATTTTTCAACACAATGCACTAATTAGATTCTATTTAACGTACCCGCTTTGTATCCAGATTCTCCTTTAGCTCTTTGAAATTTATCTTCGGTTCAGTGGATACTGGATCTGAGGATTAAAGGCAATGGTCGAAAGGTTAAAAGACAGTTGAATCCGAAAAAGAAACAAAACTTTTGGTTAATCACCTTCATCCCTTGTACCTGATTGAAGCTGAGCCATGATCAACTCCCTTCAACGAACTAAGATTCCACTCGATCGAAGCAGCCAGCTCAAGCCACAGAAGCACCCGATTCCAAGTGTGGACCGAATCAAACTGAGCAAGGCGAAAACATATCACAAACATGGAAATCAATACTCTGCGAATTCGCGAGTTAATCAGCTCTCCCATGCGTGCCGATTGAGAGAAGTTCTATTTTGGGAACGCTTGACGCTGTTTACTCAGAACCGCCTTAGCGCCATTCAACAACAACTAAACTTGAATTAATTTATTCGTTTTGTGACATCAGTATGTTTTTAGACCAGTGCCATAATATTCGAGTATGGGAAACACGTTCGCGCACTTTGAACACGCCAATTGAAGTCCCAGTATTAATGGAAAATTTCGATTAATCGTGACGCGTCATATTTACTAAACATATGGGGATAATTAGTTCAAAGACCATTGAACGATAATAAACAATGTGTATAACTGATAATTCAGTATTGCACTCCACCATTCATTATGGTATTATGGAATCATAAGATGTTTTTTTTTCCCTTGATTTGTTTTCCGTCGATCTTGTTTTCCGTGTTAAGCACCAATGCTACCCACGCCAGGGAGGCAGCTCCCACACCTGGACCCTACCTATCGACCCATCAACTCATGAACCGGGGACCAACGGCTTTACTTCCCATCCGATGAGCAGAGATTTTATGCCCCAGAAAATCCCGACGACTACTTTTCGATATAGTGTGCTTTCAGAAACCGCTGAAGAAGAGTTGTAGTCGGACGTACTTGAACGGCTGTCGCACATGAAGGATGGTAATGGTGCTCCAGACAGAAGGTGGAGGTTGTAACTAATATCAATAGAAGTAAAGTTTCAAACTGAAATAACTTCGGAGTTTCTTATCTTACCGATTTGGTATGTTGAGATTAATTATTATGAAAAAATAGCTCTATCTCATATGTGTAGTTGGAGAGGGGGGAGGGGTAGCTTAATATATACCTCATCCTCCTCACTCATATCAATAGTTTCAGTTTGAAATAACTTCGGAGTTTCTTATTTTATCGATTTGGTATGTTCAGGATGAATTATTCAAAAACATTTGCTTAATCTCATAAGCGTTAATAGACAGTGGGCTGGGGGGGGGGGATGGCTTACTGTATGCAGATTTTAAAACGAAAATTGTTGTAGTTTAAATATTTAATATCCACTTGTCGGTTCATTTGTTAGTGAGGAAATGTTTGAATTGTTAGCAGCTGGGAAAAAAATAAATTTCCATACGAAGCTTTTATTTGAAATAACAAACTGCCAGTTTGGAATCTGACTTCCATTGGTACACCGGCAGTGTTGGCAGAAAAAGGGATTTTTGGTGTCTAATTCAAACCATAAATATTTGAATATCTATAACTTTCTTTGGATACATTGTAGCACCGTACTTTCTTTCACAAAGTTGTTAGGTACTTCCTGGACCATATTTGTACATAATTAGTTGCACGGTTTATGCACATTTGTGATCTCTAGGGATGAAAATGCAAAAAAGGGTTTTTAATACTAATATCCATACAAATTTCAAACGCAATGCGGAAAGCCGAGTTAGGGTAACTGATGATGGTTGGACCTATTTAGGTCAGTTTCACACGACGTCAACATTCGTGTCGTTTTTTTTTATGAATTCAACATATAATTATGAAAAATGCGTGATTAGGAGAAAGATCTACCTTTCTTGTTTATAATAATAACATTAAATGTTAAATATTATGAACAAATGATTTTATAAAATGTTTTTATTCAGCAAAGAATTATGATGTTGGTTGGACCTATACTGATCTTGGTTGGACCTAAAAATGATGATGGTTGGATCTATTTTTGCAAATGCTAATTTAGCCCATATTTGTTCAAACACTTTGTTTAGAGCTTATTGGTATCATAAAAAAAAACCCTTTTTATACAGTTTTTATGAATTTGCTATTTTAAAAAAAATCCAGAAATTTCAATTTAAATTCGTATTTAAAAAAGTTCACTTTCCACGCATCATGGCTCATTTTCTCGGAAATCATTGACCCGAATTGGAATTTTTTTAACGTCAAACTAGGATCAAACTACAGCTATCGAATATTTAATAATAGTAATGTTCCAGGGTATATGGAACATGGACCTTATTTTGACATATAAGGAATAAAACCTATCATGCGACGCTTCACATTACTTCCAAATTCGATAACAAGATCAATAACAAAATTGAGTGCATTGGACCACATTGGCCACTTCCGGGCATGTTCTGGGTGCCCCCGGGGAATTCAGGGGCTTAAAATGACAGAATATCAGAACTTAATTCCGGTTTAATAGTTTTTTTTTTCGGAAATTAGTTTCAGTTAGCAATTTTTAGCTTGTTAACATTTTATTTCAAGTTTATACACACATAAGGTGTATGAGAAGTGCTTAATGTAAATTCATAGTACCAGATTCTTTCGGCGCTTTCGTGGTAGTTCGGAAATCGGTGGTTACCCTTTCAGCCAACCTGACGATGGAATTACTCCTTTAAATTTACGCCCAACTAGTGACGCAATGTCTTTAGCAGCTTCCAAGATCTTTTTGGTCGTCTTGGGACTGCCAGAAGCAGCGCACATACAAACCCAATCCGCTAGCTGGTTCTCCAAATCAACACTCAACACTATTTCCCTTCCATATTTCTTGCCGTGGCTTCCTTTAATTTTTGCGTGAAGTGTCGTTTTGGGAATATTGTACCTTTTCTGTGCCTGATAAGCGCCATTTTTTTCAATCGAAGAAATTGATCACTCGGCCAAAACGAAATCGAGTTTCAAATCAGCTGCGCATGAAGGATGTAAACAAACCGAAGCGCACCTAGCGGCCGTCTTAGGAAACACATAGGTCCAACCATCATCATGAGTAGGTCCAACGAGTGCTGAGATTTGACAGACTTTTGCGCGATATTGACAAAATTGTTTTTCACATAGTCAATGATAGACTTGATCCTCAAAAAAATCTTTGTCAAAATCTCATTCATTTTTTCGTCAATGACAAAGATTCACCTGGTAACAGAAAGTGTAATTTCTTGCAGTCTGAGACACATTATTGTTATCCAAGCAGTTCAGGACGAAGATGCTTATTCACTTTAATGGCTCCATATAATAGTTTTGCTCTTGCCATTTAATTTCATTTCAAATTTAGCTAATAAACAAATCAGCACATGTTCGTCACTGACAAAAATGCTACTGACAATTGACATGGTTTGCCTTGACGATGACTGTTAGCTCAAACGAGTGACCAAAGCAGAATTTTGAGTATCACCGTGTATTGTCGAAATTTTGCAGCACTGGGTCCAACCATGATCATATTTATCTATTCGAATTTCGTCAATTATTCAAACATTTTAGTGAAACCAATAGATAAATGGTGTACTAACGTGTTGTTTACACCTTAAAGTAGTATTTTACTGCATGAAAATAAAAATAAATGTTAAAAATTTTCCTTTTTTGTATATTTGAAAGTAAGGCATGATGACGAGCTAATACGTGGAAAGTGAACTGTTTTGAAAACACATTGAAACTCAATTGTTTTGAAGTTTTTTCAATAAAACACTTATGCAAAATGAAGAAAAAGAGTTTTTTATGATAGTAAAATGATCTTTGAAACTAAAAAATTAGCGAAGGTTGACTTAACTAGCGATTGAAAAAATAGGTCCAACCATCATCAGTTTTTGGATAGGTCCAACCAGAATCAATTACCCTACAACCAATCGTCCCAGAATTTTGCACAGTTGTTTGGGACTCCAAATGGAACCAAAAAAGGGTTGTTCTCGATTGGTGCGGTAAAGTTTGCGTTTTTCCATATAACGATGACCCACTCTAATATATATTCTAATATCTTACAGTACTGGAAATAAAAACGAAAACATCGTGACTTGATGTGTTGCATGTCCATGATCTGTCCGATCGACAATTGGTCCCTGGTATTCCAACACATCCGGTAGTGGCCTAAGAGGTGGTCGGAGTTCCCAATACTCTTTGAACAGATTTGACATTTGACAGAATTTTGACATTTTATTATAAAATAGTATGAGCCGATTCAAACAAAAATCTTTTTTTTAGGAATTAATGTGATCTACCATACATAGAAAAATTAAACCCCATTTAAATCCGGTATTACTCTGAAATCAAGTGCCCAATTCCAGCTCTTCAGAAATATATAGATATTTAACAAATACAACTACAGTACCGGACAAAATAAAAAGACCTCGTGATTTTTTTCTCTTCACAAAATTTAATGAGCTATGAGCTGTAACTTTTCAGGACGGCTTCAACATTTCTGAAATGTTGATTGCTGGTACATCAAGTTTTCAAAATGTATCAGCATGGTGTTGTGCTGGATTGCCGGAGTTTGTAGGAAGTTTCAAAGTGTTATTTCTTGAAGTATAATAAACCAAATGATAAATTTTATATATCTTTAGTCAAAAAATTTTCTTAGAATAGCTTTAGATTTGAATTAAATCGGCTCACGATGTTTCAAAAGTCAATGCATTGTGCATTAAATAAAATTAGTTTAAAGATAGAAAGTCAAATAAGAAGCGTTTCATTTAAACTGCTCAAACTTCATATAAATTCAACCAACCAAACTCAAAACAATACCGAAATAACTTGAATAGTTGATGTACCAGCAGCCAAGGTTTCAGAAATTTTAATGTCCATCCAGAAAAGTTACAGCTTATTGAGCTTTTTTGAAGAGTTAAAATACTTTTTTCCCGGTACTGTCTATCTCTGCTTTTACATTTCCAGATTCAAATAAGGTTCAATCATTGAAGTATTTACAGTTGTATATAAAGTGAAACAAAAACATCTACCAAGCTTTCACGTGTTGAAAAAATATTATGTATTCATGATTCGTTTGGAACATGTTGCATTAAACTTCATTAATCCTTTATTATGAAAACAAGGATCGGGCCAACATACAAATTCTGTGGGGATTGCTACTGGTCGTTTTGTTCAGAGTGTGGTACACAAAGACAAGCACACGCACACACACACACACACACACACACACACACACACACACACACACACACACACACACACACACACACACACACACACACACACACACACACACACACACACACACACACACACACACACACACACACACACACACACACACACACACACACACACACACACACACACACACACACACACACACACACACACACACACACACACACACACACACACACACACACACACACACACACACACACGCACGCACATTACTGCATTTATTTGATGTTTATTGCATGGAATTAAAATATAACCTGTGTATGATAATTGTTTGAAGAAGAATGGGATGCGACATTTTTCTTATTCTCTATCTCCGTCATTCGCTTGAAATGTAAATATTCACGACCGCTCGTGTGCTGGCTGCCTTGTTTGGCTG